AGTTATACAATTGTTAACTTTTTGAATTACTGTACATATATCTTTTTATCCATACGTTAATTTTTCGGTTTTTGCCTTGATCAGATATCATTATTCGGATGGTTCACTTTAAACTTCAGTTATCCTCTTGCAAGGAGTTGGTCATTTCTAACTTTTGTTACACAGACTGGAACAAAATAATCTTGAAAATCCCAAAAAAGAAACAGATTTTAACAACAAAAAGCTTCATTATAAGGATATTCTCATTAATACTTATATGAATTACTATATGAATAAAGTTTACTTTTTACACTAACACATCATTAATACTAATGTCGGATATACTGGTAAACCCTCGAATTTGAAACAAAGACATAGATTTTGTGTATTCCCTAGCCACTCTTGTAGATATGATAGAAAAATGTCAAAACAATATTTTGCTGATGCTTACCAGTATTAATCTTACTTATGTCAGTATATTTTAAATACTTTTTAGATTAAAAGAGAGAGAGACAGATCATCAGATACATGTGAGATAAAATTTTTAAGAGCAAAATTTATTTTTGCATAGCTTTTGACTGCATACCAACGTCTCGAATTAAAATGATTAAAAAAAAAAGAAATATATCAAAACAGTAAATTGAAGAAAAAAGATTGAATATATGTTTCGTTTGAACCTTTTTCATTAAAAAAACGTGCACAAATACGCGAGTTTGTAAATTAAAAAATATAGTAAAACTTAGATTGCGAAGTCACTGGTGAAATAACTTCGTTTTAACCGTAGTTAAGAAATTTGTTTTTATCATAGTAAAATGAGGTATATGGATTTATATAATCAGATTTACGTTATATCCGTGAATTTGCAATATACCCGTTTATGCTAAACTAGTTATCATATATCATATCCAAAACATTTGTTCGGATGATAAATAAATTCGGATTAAATTAGACTTATATGCTTGTTTCGGAAATAAATTTTACCCGCCGTACATGTAAAATGTGTTTTTTCCATATATAGTATTTGATATTTTTTTTTAAGTTAATTTGATAATAGATAGACTTATAATATAATGTGTAACTTGTAAAAAAAACGTTGCATGTAGGCCCTGAATATTTTAGATTAGGCTAGGCATTGTAATAACCAAAGTATTTTATTTTTAAAAATCCTCTTATCATGTTTATTATCACTGAATTTTCTTTTTTATTTTCAGTAAATTGAAACACAGACCTTCAATAATTTCACGTGTTATTATTATATGTATTAATTTTTTTGATTTTTAAAATTTTTTAAAAGTTAACTCCTGTGATGTTATTTTGTGTTTTCGAATTGAAAGGCTTTTGAAAAATTTTATAATGTAAAAAAAAAATAATAAAAATCAAGGTTCATAATGTTTATATAATGTATCTGTTGCTTATATTTAAGGAATAACTGTCTTATTTTTCGATTTCATGAATTGTAAAATATGACAATGGCATAGTTGAAGGTGTTTATTAAAATTATCACAAAAATCATTATTTGAAAAATCAATTTCTTTGTCAGTTTGATTCCAAAGCCTGCTCCAAGCCCTGCTTACACAGCTGTTTGTCCCGCTTGCACGTGGTTTTTTTAATACATTGATGGGGAAAAAATACATGACATTTTCTAATTTTATACATGACATTGGAAATTCAATAAGCATTGCACTGCATACCTTTGTCATTTTACATGTAATGCAATTACCAGAATAGCAGTGTTACTTTGGACTGAATGACTTCTATACCATTTCACCTTCGTGACCATGACAGGTTCCTAATGTTCCCAACGATGGTCCAACGTAAAACTTCCTATTTATTAGAAGCAGGTCCAGAAATAAAAGTTAAAAAAAGTGTATTTACAAGTTGGTAGTACTAGTTCTTGCTGTATATATACAAAAAAAATGTGTCTTATCAAGCTTAAAATAGAGGCCATTGTTAGTGTTCACCCACCCAAAATATTTACAATTGTTAACTTTTTGAATTACTGTACATATATCTTTTTATCCATACGTTAATTTTTCGGTTTTTGCCTTGAAAATGTCTTATCAAATTGATATCATTTTCGGATGGTTCACTGTTTCTAAATTAAAGAACGTGTCCTATCAAGTTGGTAGTAGTATGTTGGCTCAACATTCACAATTTTGTAATACACACAAGTGTTATTTTGTTTACAAAATATCTGCCAAAATCTTTTAAAAGATGAAATATAACAGATTTTAACTTCGCAATTAAAGCTTCATTATAATTAGGAGTATATCAACGTGCCATTAATACTTATATGAATTACTTATATGAATAAGTGTTAACTTTGAAATTACACTAACACATCATTTTTTGAATACTTATATTTACGGATATACTGGTAAACCCTCTTAATTTGAAACAAAGAACAATGGCTCATATGATATTTGGTTATGTATAATGGTGCGCTAATGTTGGGCAACTCTTGTAGATATGATAAAATTATTATCATTAGAGAAAATATTTTGCTGATGCTTACCAGTATACCATAATCTTACTGAGCATCAGTATATTTTAACCGTATTGATGTACTTTTTAATTGACAAGAGAGAGAGACAGATCCTCATATACACTTTGTAAGATTTATAATATGTTTGCCTAGGCACAGCTGGAATTTAATTTTGAAACATATCTTTCAAATGACTGCATACCAACAGTCTGTTGGGTCGAATTAAAATGATTAAAAAAAAAGAAAATATGAATCGGTTACAAAACAATGTAAATTGAAGAAAATTTAAGATTGAATCTAATTTGGCATTTTGGACCAAATTTGTAGATTTTCACCAAAAAACGTGCACATTGCGCCAACATTGAGTTTGTAAATGAAAAAATATAGAAAACTTAGTTATTGACCAACGTCAATAGGAACATTGGGCCATGAAATAACTTCGTTTTAACCGTAGTTAAGAAATTTGTTATTTTATCATAATAACAAAATGATCGTATATGGATTTATCCTACTTGAAAGTACAAGATAACTTTTACAAGGCTATAAAACTCTTATAAATTATCAAAACAAAATAAATTATCAGTGATTAAATGTTTTGTTTTTATACAAGAAAAATAATTAAAGTATAAAATAACAAATGTGTTTTGATGATTAAAACAATAAATAATTTGCCCCTATTTAGATTGAAATGTGTGACTAGTAAAATACATTTCCGAAGTCACTTAATTTACTTATATACATTTTAACACACCGTACCAAACATGTAAAATGTCATGTTGATAAAATTAAATTTATTCAGAAAAACATAATTTGGCTGATATTTGAAGTTAATTAATATCAAACTCTTCTGTACATGTATTTTAACAATACAAGTTGTCTCAAAATCGTTGTGGTGTATGACGTCATAACCAAATTACGTTAATCACTTTCACAATTACATGACGGGGAAATAATAAACATGATATACTTGGCAATTTAGTATAAAAAGTATGTTTAGTACCAAATATTACAATTTAGTTTGTTTGGCATTGTAATAAACCAAAAAGAATAGTAATTTTATTTTTAAAAATCGAAAGCTCATGAGAAGGATTAAGAGAGGGATCATTATCCTGCCTGTTATATACTGTGACAAACCTGTAGTTCTACCCTTTTCTGTTTGTACCAAAATTTTTTGTAAATTGAAAAAGGACGTAATACCTTCAATAATAACACGTGTTATTATTATATGTATTACATTTTTTTATTTACCTAAATTTTTGTAAAACATGTATACATGTATCGCTTGAAGTGAGCTCAACTTTTATCTTTATTAATGTTTTAACTGTATTTTCGTTATAATTGAAAGGCTTTTGAAAAATTTTATAATGTAAAAAAATATTGAATAAAAATCAAGGTTCATAATGTTTATATAAGGGCTTTTACCATTATATGTTACAAAAATATAACCTTAATATATGTATTTTTTGTCATTTCATGAAGTGATCAATCGATTGGCTTGTCATAATAATTTGCATAAACCCGAAGGCGTTTTGCAATATTAAAAGATCCCGCAATGCTCAATCGATTGATCATCTTCATGAAATTGAAAAATCTGACAGTTATTAAATTTCCCCAAATTATATTTACACAACTTTACATTCCTCCAATCCACGTGCTCCAAGCCCTGCTTCTGTCCAAGCTGTTTGTCCCGCCCTGCACGTGGTTTTTTTGGAACCGCGCCAATACATTGATGGGGAATATTGAAATAATACATTTACATTTGGTAATTTTATCTCGGACAAAGACATTGGAAATGTAAATATTATGTAATCCAAAGTACATATTTTTGTCATTTTACGTGTTCTGATCATATTAAGAAGTTGCAGTTTTCTTTACAAAAATAAAAGTGCCATATAAAGGTATGAACCCCAAGGAATCTCATAAAAACCAGACTTCTTTAGTTCTTAGATCGCGCCGTATACATTCCTTTTACGCATTGTTCGGCCATATTAATTTATACCCCCGCTTGAAAAGCGGGAGGGTATATAGTAATCGGTATGTCCGTCCGTCTGTCTGATATGCTTTGGGGTACACATTTCTTTTCTGCAACTCCTCTCATACCACTGAATGAGATTTGATGAAACTTTCACAAAATATTTATAATTTATAACATATTGTCATTGTGCACTTCTTGTTTTACTTTTTGATCCGACACATATTTTAGGTTTCCGACAGCAAAAAATAGACACTGCCATTATATTCATATGGGAGGCGGGAGGTATAAATTAGTGAGTTCATTACTCACTGTACCTCTAGTTTTTTTTAGCCTCCATCTCTAAATAAGAATATTTGTATGAACATTTTTCGAATCCATGTGCAACATTTGGAATTGATTCAGATATTGAACTACAATGTACATGTAGTTATCACCCAAAAATGCCACCGTTTCGATATGACTTCAAAATCATATAGATAAATATACAGTAAGGTGGTCGCATGTTTTCTAAACTGAAAAAAATCCATTTTTTTGACATAATTATCATCATACGCAATTTTTGCAGAAATCATTAATACGGACGCGTTGGCCCTTGTTATACTCGTACCATCCTGTCATGACTTTGTCCATCTTTCCCTGTCTTGTATTACTTGTTGGATCCTGCAGCGGATTTATATTTGGATGTAAGTGCTTTCACGGATTATTGAGTTTCTTGTTACTTTTTAATCAGTTTCAGTATTTAGTTAAATATACTATTATTTTATAATATTTGGATCTCAATTACACATATTCATTGTATTTTTCAGCAAATGTGCATCCCTGGGACGGATTGAAAGGTAAAATCTACAATGCAACCAATGATTAAAACACTCCTCCACATACTGGTATAAAAAATTAATTGTTAGATTGGCTCCCTTTATAAGGAGAAAATTCTTCAAAACCATGTCAGTTTTTTAAATGTAATCATGCAACAATTAAAACGAATTTGAAATGGTTGATAAACTTCATAAAATCATTACAAGGAAAGATCCAAAGCGATTGTCAGTAAATGTTTTACCAAGCCCCTTTTTTACTCAACGAAAATATTAACAGCAGTAAAGGACAAACTTCAGAAGAACTGTACAACGATAATTTGAGAAGTGAAGTAAATCAGATGTGGTACTTACAAGTTAATAAGTAGATAACCAAGTTTTAGCATCAAAATAGGCGACTTTCAACACTTTACATACACCATAGTCAGCGGACTTTTCATCAGAAATTGAATTTTTAAATTTACTTACCCTGCCATTGGTCATTTGCATATTTCTTTTGTTAAATGTACACAAGTACCCCGAAGTTCCTAACTTACAAGATGCTCGAGTTTCCGATTTACAGTATCTACGTAGATTAATTGAAGCTCAAGTCTATCGGAATTCTTATGGGTACCAATTGCACCTCGCTGCTACCAACCTATTTTTATATTCATGTAAGAAAAATTTGTTTCATATTTGAATATTTTACAAGAAAGGGGCATTTATGCATGTTACATTAACAACAACAACAAGAAAAGAAAACGGCGATAAACGCGATCATGATTCTATTTTCCCCCTTCAATACTCTTTTATTTGTGTAGGAATGCACCTTTTCACCTGCATGTGGGGTATAAGTCTCCCAGCTGATTCGATTAACAAAGGCATGTACTTCAAACAAACAGTTTCCAAAACGAGCCAAGCTATTGGCAAAGAAGTTAATGAAACAAGGATATCAGCAGTGGCATTTGAAGTCATCATTTCTTTGGTCGAAACAACGATCATGTCAGCAAGTACAATCTATCATCAAGCCGACTGCTGACTGGCGTTTAACATATCAAAGATAAGAAAAAATATCTGAGAACATTTCCGTTGTATTAATGTGGACAATAAGCTTACGGCGGGTGTGAACGGTCGACAGCGGATGCTTACTTATGGTACTCTATCCCACCTAGCTTTGGTCAGTGTATTTGCTCTGCTGCTGATTGTATTGTTTTAATGGACTTGTGTTGTTATACTGTTTATTATCTCCATATTTCAATGAAGAACTCGATATAGGATTTAAGATCAATTTTAAAAATACATACATTTATGCAAAATGACACTATGATCTGAATGTCTAATGAAAAATTCAAAACTCACAACTGTAGACTGTAATTATTGTTTTGTTTTCTTTCACTGTTACACACATATTTATATACTTTGTTGGAAGTTAGATGGTAGTATTTTTGCGCACTAGTATTTGATGTCGGGATGCCTGTATATATATATATTTACAAAAAAAATAATGCATTTTTTTGTTTCAGCTTGAGAACTAGAACTAGTTCCGGACAAAAAATGTAATTATGTTAAATCAATATAAAACTCTTCAATAATTAGCACATTACAAATGATAGACGTGTACGATATACTTGTTTTTTTTTTTATGTGTACCTTATCCCAGACTCTGATTTTTTGAGAATCTCTTGTCACTTAAAAACATTTCCCGCAAAAACATACACCGCAGTACACAAATCTTGTACATCGTACGGCCCGACTGCTTAGAGAATGCTAAAGAGTGCTACCTAAATCCTTAAATACATTCAACATTGGTTAAAAAAAGGAAAGGAACTCTTTTTTTCTTACAATTTCAGGAGACTTTTTTTAAAAGACTTAGTATCAACTTTGCAATTTTAGTGACTTTGGGTTGTAAAGCTTCATCAGTAAAAACATTGTAAATTTCTGAGAATTAGGGTAAACCTTTCGATTGCAGTCAATTGTATCCATTTTTTAAATTTCAGTGACTTGGGGTATAAACCCTTTCAATAGTATCAACTTTGCTGACATGCCCAGAACAGAGGCCGAGGCCGAACAGAGTGGATTTACAATAATATCAGGTTGTGGTGAGTATATTTTGACTATTTTTTAGAATATCTGGATATTTCAATGGTCGAAATATAAAATGCTATTGAGTAGAATTATATCTGGATGATAATACATGTAGATTGAATTTGCCTACAAAATGAGTATCAACTTTGCCAACAAAAACATTTAATATGTTTTATCTTTTAATTTATTTGTTTACTTACATTCATATTAGGTGGACATTCACTGAATATGGTTGTGTATATAAAAAAGATATTTTTCATGCAGAATATAGCATAAACTATGAAACTTTATATCTTATTTCAAACTCTTGACTGTTTTGGTTTAATCTGTAGAGAAAAAATCTAAATTCTTAAAACACTTCATATCTCAGCATTCAAACCTTAAAAAACTCGTATTTTTTCAACTTGAAAATCTGATACCTTCTAAAAGTGTATAAATGTACACGTATGTCACATTTAGAACATGAAAATTTTCTTGGAAAGAGATACATGAAAGACAATGACCCTGCTGTCATCCTTATTTATGACGTCAACGGCTACATTGCTGGTATCCAAGCCGGGGTAAGCTAGCATTCAGGACCATACAATTGATGTGTGTTTTTCTTTAAAAGTGTGATGAAAACTTTTGGATTTATTATGAGGAAATCCTTAACAAATAACAAGCTAATTACATGAGGGCAACTTGGCTTTTGAATTAACAGATACCCACAACTCTGAGTAATGGTTATCCATCCTTAGAACTTCAGAAACATCCATTTGTCAGAGATTTTGACAAGCATTACATTACAGCTTACTTTGTGTCACCAGGTATAAAATAAATTTCTCATTATGAATTTAATTTTAATGAATGGTAGTTATATATGAAGGTAAAGTATTGTTTATATAATAATCTATATGTATTGATATTATAATAAAGTACTCTGAAAATTATTAAAATCTGACACTCATTGCAGGTTTAGGGGAGTGGTTGATTTTTAGTGTTTATTATGCTGATAATTGTTGATTTTAGCTGTTTCCAGGCCTGTGGGTCATAAAACTAAAACGAGTCTACATGTACTTTTGATTTCAGTCTCACATTTCCCAAAGGATTTAATAGTGGAAAAGTGAGACTGAGATCAAAAGTGAGCTCGTCTAAGTTTTATGTCCCAGGCCAGTTCTAGTCTGGAATGGTTCTGGTGATTAGTTCTATATCATATTTTTTTGTTTATAATATACTATATTTTATACAGATTTGATATGTACACGTGGGCGCACTTCCAGTGAGGTTAGTACCCAGGGTACAGGGACCGATCTGTACATACAAAATAGTACTAACCCAATGGAGTCTATAAAAATACCCCACCAGGAGGCCGACATTGGATCGACAAAATGGGTCAAAGGTCACTGCTTTCCGGCTATGGGTAAACACTTTTATTTTCTGATGAAGGATTTACCTGATTGTATCAATTGTTAGAACTATGTTTGAGACAATATAAAATGTTAACGTTGTTTGCATTATTTAAAAAAAAAACCATTTTCCCATTATAAAAATATGGAATCTATCTGTTGCAATTCTAATTTAATCTCAATGACCAGCATCTAAATTTCCATATGTTAACTATATCGTATGTAATCAGAATCTTAAAAGTTCAGAATAAGGTTTAAGTTCTGCAGCAATATACCACCAATATCAGAATTCATATGAAGTAGAATTTATCAAAATGCACGTAAATGAAAATTAAAGGAAAAGTCTCTTGATGTGGCCTTCAGTTTAACATTTAGATACCGATATATATCGAAGAGGTTTGATCAATCAACAATATTCGTTTTCATTCCTGACACATGTTTCAAATTTAAGTATATTACAAAAAATGTATATTTTTATTCTTACTACAAACATGATGACTTTAACCCTTCTGTTGTCAACTTCCCTAAGTATGTATACCATGAACAATCACCATAGATCATACTCTATGTACGATCAATTCCAAAATTAGTCAATGTATTGATTAATAAGTTGACAAAAACAATATTTCAACATTCCCGATTAAACTCAATAGTTCGCAAAGACTATCTTCAATGCAATGACCTTGTCACCAACTATCATCTCTTATTTAGTCGAATGTTGGTTGGCGTTTAACAAACTAATTGTTAATGCTTTTTGCACTAAATTGTCAATGGAGTTTTTCTTTATTCCCCAATTATGACAAGGAGCGCACGGCGGTGACTGGTCGACAGGGGATGCTCACTCCTCCATGGCACCTGATCCCACCTCAGACCTTTAAGAGGTCGATCGTGTTTGTTCTCCTCCTGATCAAAATTGTGTACTTAGTACAGTGTATGTCACTTTTGTAATGTTTAAATGGACTTTAGAGTTTGAATACTGTTTATTATCTCAATAAATTTGAAAAAAAAATAAAACAATAACCTGACGTTACAAAGCAATAAAAGGACTTTAAACCATTTACATAATGAAAATTTGCGTGACTTTTATTTCGTAGGTGTTCATTATTGGTACGACATTTCTCTCGACATGTCATGTGATCAACTTTTCCCTGTGTTCCTTCTATATAATGGAGGAGTCTTGAATGCGTTTGGATGGGCTTTTAAGGCAGAGCTTCCATCACCAAGATACGAACATCTTTCCCAATCAACGTTCAAAGTATGGATACTTGATTAATATTATTGTTTACGGAGTATCAAAAAAAAAATACTATTAATATGTATGCCAAACTGGATTTCTTTTTGGAAGTCATAAAGTTTTGGCATACTGATTCCCCAATCGGTCTTTTCAAAAAGGGTAAGGAATAAAGTCATTGTACCTGAAGGATTACATATGTCACTGATTATAAAACTGATCATATATGGCTTAATTCCTCGGTCATTTAATATTTTTGAAAATTGACACAAAACCAATTGAATTAACTGCATATTTAGTATATGAGTGGCTACTTTATCCATAACAGCAAGCATGTTATACTTTCAGAAGCAATTTTATTTTTAGAATGTAACATTTAAACCTGGCATGTTTCCGAATTATTTCACAAATAAATACGAACAATTTAGTCGGTTTGACCTTATGCCCTACAGGGAGCATAGCGGAAAGGTAAATTGAGTTGGTTGTTTTCAAACATGACGTATGGTCACTCATTGCAAATTTTTTTTAAAAGAATCCTTTTGTCGTATTAGGCATTGCACAATAATTATTTTGAAATTAATTGTTCAGAGATCATAGTTTGCGCTTTCTTAAAACTACTACACTACGTTAATAATTATCTTTTCAGTATTATAACCATTTGATATTGAACATATAGCCTATAATTGAATACTAGTATCAAGCAATTTAGTAATTTAGTATTTTCTTTAATTTCCTTTCATTATAGGCTTTCATGCAAGTCAAACCTAGTTGTCTTGACCAATCAGGGACGCTTTCCACACTTCATATTTACCTTAATGGACGTCCACAGACTGACTTTCTCTGCGATTAAATTTTTCTCTCGTGTATTTCATACCGTATTTAGTTTCAGTTTGTAAATAAGTAAGACCATTACAACACTTCAAAATAAAGAAATCAAGGAATAGACTATTCAATCTTTTTTTTTTGCTTTCTCTTGATTGCTTCTTCTCGAAAATATGCATGACCTTTTTCCATTTTAAAAACGATTAAGATTCCCCTTTATAATGTTTTTGCCAAGTTAATTGAAACATGACCGGTTGTTCATTTGTAGATTTTACAAAAATGACTGACAGATGTCTAGAAATAGAGTAAAATGCAAGTGAGCTTACAATATACAGTACTTTTTAAGCACTTTTAATCTTAGATTGTTATCATCTATGTCTTGCATGGAAAGCAGATCAAAATAAGTTTTTAAAATAAATGTGAATCGGAAGAAAAATAGACTTCAGTAAACCATGTCCTCTCAAATTTTATTTGATTAAAGTTTTTAAAATGAATGTGAATCGGAAGAAAAATAGACTCCATATATACCCTATACCCTGTCCTCTCAAATTTTGAATGATTATAAAAAATCATCATATTACATGATACAGAGACTTCCGGGTGAATGAGTTCTGATACGCCGATGATAGAAATCAATATTGTTTTGTATAATGTTCTATTCATGGGAACACTTTTAATTGAAAGTACTTTTCTTGGAGCGAAAAATCAGTTTTAATTATTTTTTATAATGTATCTTTAGAATTACAGTGTATATTTCAGTCGAGCATTTTAAGGTCACCTGAGGACTCAAATGAACTATTGTCTCATAATACGTTATCCGCAAAGGTTTGAACATTTTCAACTTCTCTAAAATGTCAGATCAACCTTAATCCTTATTTGACATAAACAAGATATAGGTATAACTTCTTTTCATTCTATTGAAAGGGGAGAGGAAAATTCTTTCACTAAATAAAAAAATCTATATTAGTAGTTGATCTATGATCATACGATATGATATGAAAACATTACACCTTCCACAATCGTGTTTCTGCCTATGGATATTTACCAAACCAACTATTTGAATGGTAATAAATTAGCCCTGAATTATATATAATATAAATTATTATATTATTAATTATATATATATTTTTAAAAATTCAACCAATTCCCTTGAAATGGTTAAGCCCATGACTTAAGCTTTGTCTGTTGTATTCAAGAAATACAATGCGTTTCTTCTATCTCAATATAACACAGACAAATTATTGGTATGATTATTATATGAGTTAAGTCTCTATCGATATCGTTAATTTTGTGCTTTCTGGGTACACAGGCAAAAGTGGTTCTTATAAATTTATATGAAATTCACATGAATTTCATGTGAATTATTAGCATGAGAAAAGGACGAAAACAATACATTTCAAGTGATTTTGACATTCACCCATTCTCAATATAAGGGCTCAAATAATGTCGCCTCGTTTTCATTTAGAAGAAATACCACTGATGTAATTTTTAAATCAACATTATAAATAGTCATATAACAATGAATAAGAATTCCTATTTATCGATATGAAAGGGTATTTAAAATGTTCCAAATTCATATAGTAGCCTATTTGAAATGTACGTTACTGTCGCTGAGGCAAATATTATGCTGAATCCCCTCTGTGTAATATATAGTTTTGATTCTCAAGTAAAAATTTTCTGATAAGTTAAACCTTGTATCATATATATTTCTTTTCATAACAATAAATACATTTTCTTTGTGATAATAAATAATTTTTATATGTGCAATGTCCCTGTCGCTTAATTTTTTCAAAATTACAAGCAAACACAAAGATTATACACCATATAGTTTTGTTCTCCTTTATTTATTGATGGGCTAAATTTGAAATTTCAAAGGATTAATTACTCCTACTTAGATAATGTAACATGAAATTGAACAATTTTAGCAACTTTTATAATTATGTTTACGGAATAAAAGACATTTTCAATCGTAGATATAAGAAATAAATGTACGTTACCTATATTCTTCCATTAAGAATATATATTAAGCGGAAAATATAACGACTTGAATAAGCAACCCCTTGTATCCTGTAAAGTGGCAAAGATATTTTGCTTAACACAATTAAAAATTATTTTTTACATGAAAAGTGTTCATTTGAAATGTACGTGATTGAAATAATTATTTTGAAATTCGAATTAAGTTCAGCACGATTTTCATGTTTGCTCATTTTTCACACACTCGAATGTGTACACAAAGGAAAGTTTCAAAGGTTGGAGGTCGGCTTCCCAAAATTAATAAAAGAAACGTTTCTGATATTGAAAAAAATATATTAATCTATTATACAATATAATTTTGATAATTGGTATATATTTCTGAATGAAACCTGTATGATGCATTTCTTATGATATGCAAGTTCAAATAGTATCAAAATATTGCGTGTCAAACGTACGCTTGTGGAAGAGAATTGATTTTTATATTTGAAATGTACGTTACGTATGGTAACGTACATTTTGCGATTAAATTTTTTTTTTATTTAGTCAATGATTGCGTTTACACGAAATAATCGTTACAATCCATTTGACAACTGACCACATTCAAATCCATCTAAATGCACCCCCAATCTTCGTAAATGTGGTAACTGTTAATATGCTAGATCAATTTTTTTCAAAGTGTCTTAAATTCATCTTTAGCAACCTTTTTGCAGTTTTTTACTTTTAATATGCGACTTTTCGTCAATATTAATTCAATTGTTGTTGATAATTTAAAACAAGATATGCATAGGCTTAAATTGGTAAAAAAAAAAAAGAAAACAAAACAAAACAAGAAAAATGAAACAAAACAAATGAACACAAGACGGTCATAGTGTACATTTCAAATACTGAAAGGCACACAATACTCAGATTTGTTATCAATCCTTGTCTTGGGAAATTTTTCAGAACTGCAAAAGTACGTTGTTTGAGTTAAATGTGTTGCAACATAAAATGAAATTGTTAACAAGACTCTCAATATATTAATATGATTTATATTAAGTTTCAATGGCCAAAACAAATTTGTTAGATCATAGCAAAATACGTCTGACTCTTATATTGTATCACAGGTATAACCTACGTCCTGTCAATTTTGAACAGCACAAAAGAATGGAAATTACTGAGGTGGACAGGACTCCCCAGTAATATGTGAGATGAACGTTACCGATGACGTGACATTCATGTAGTTGGTGACAAATAACCACGTTTTGTATACATTATGATTTCTTAAAACACTTCATTGAAATGATTTTTATGTCAATAATTGCTTTTTTTCAATTATTTTTTATTACTAATTTTCATATTATTACAAGCTTGAAATTTCACGTTACCTAGCATTTTAAGGCAGTCGTGTCTTTATATGTGGTGAACATATAACACAATGTCTACATAATACGTTATCCTTTTTGGACATAAACTTCTGAATTTTTAGATCAATTTTAAGCTTTTTGACATTAAACAGAAATATATCTTGAAATGTACTTCATTTACTTATTGTCTAAATCGGCATGGATATATGTTAGGAAAAGACAGTAACTACAAAATAAAATTTTACTATATGTACATGTTGATCTATTCATACGATCTGATATGAAAATGACACCTTCCACAACTGATCGCTCTATTTAGAGATATATTTAAAAAAATGTTTTTATACATCTGGATCAAAATATATAATTGTTTTTTAAAAGGAAAAATTTCGTATGCCAAAAATATCCCTTGCTGACAGAGTTGGTAGGATGTGCTGGTGTTAAGACGGGATATTCCAATTGTGATTTTAATGACTACATTTTTATTTTACATATCTTTTTGGACATTGAAGAAAGAGTATGTACATTTCAAGTCATTTCGATAAAATCACCCTTAATTTTGTGTTTGTCATTATTCCATGTATTAAAATTTGATGAAAAAAAAATTGGAAACAAAATCTTCAGATAGTTTCTTTCAAAGGTAATTGATAGAAAAATTGTTATCTTGAACTTCATTTTTTAAAAAATCAGAGAGGCATTTGTGCCCTTATATTGAGAATGGGTGATTAATAACTTTCATATGAAGTGAACATATCGCATAGATATCTTAAAAAGAAAACATCACATGAAAGTGAAAGACTTTTTTAAAAAAATATATAAATGTCATACAAAGTTTTTCACATGAAATGCGCATGAAAAGTAATGTTTACATGAAATAATGTCTTTTCAAATAAAAAGCTAATGACATGAATATCATGTGAGCCACTGTTCCCTGTGTGGAGTCCAGAATGGAGCAGGTCATGATATCAGACATTGTGTACGATACCTAATAAAAAGAATGAAGATAACAAACAGTGATCGATCTCAAAACATTTAAGGAATGAAGCTTATTTCATCTTATGTTATACGATGTAACATAATTTGGGCAGTTTACGCATTATAAACCGCGAAGCGAAGCGGTTTATAAAAAAGCGTAAACTGTCCCAAGTTATATTATATCGTTGAAATAGGCTTCATTTTTCTAATGATTTAATTTCAGTGTAGACAATGCTAGAGACAATTTTTCCTCCAGAAAAAGGCATCAAAATTAGCATATTTTAAAAGTAACGTCAAGCAAAGTAATAGGTTTTTGACGTGTAACAGCTAAATTAAATTATTCACAGAAATACAATTTTTTGAATGGGACACACACTAGAACCCCTTGGAAATTCAAGAGGTGTTAAGGAGGAGTAAGCATATCCTATCGACCGGTCACACCCCCCCCACCCACCCCCATGATCTTTTGTTTGTTTTGTTTAATGTCCTTCTAGAGAAGTTTTCACTCATACATGGCGACTCCACCACTTGCCAGTGGAGAGCTGCAAATTTTGTCCAATTCTTGACAATTTTTGCCATTGAGCAGTGGGTGATCTTTTTTGGTGCCAGCAGGTACCTACTGCAACGCAGTTCCTCAATTTCTGTGGTCTCATCCGAATGATCGGTCTCCACGTCCCAAAATGGGATTCGAACCCGAGATGTAATGATTAACGTCTTACTTTGCGCCAAACTTCCACCAGACTTCGTTTATACCAATCGCGGAGTGTGCAGAGGACTATGGGTAATATGACTTCGCGCCTCTAGAGCAGACCCTTTAACCACTGGGCC